CACGGGGCGTCCGGCGATGCACAGCTTGGCGGAGAGGCTACAGAGCGAGGAGGCGGAGCTTCTGGGTGCAGCGGCAGGGCGAGGGGTGGCCGGTGGCCGCGGTGGCAAGCAGCGGCGCTCTCCGGTGCGGTCGGTGAAGAGAGGGAGAAGGAACCAGAGGAGGGAGAGGACTGGGGAGAGTGAGAGGGGTACGGGGCGTCGCGTGGCGTCGTCCGGATCATCCAGAGCGACGAGGGGGAGGACAGGCAGGCAGGGAGGGAGGAGGTGGCGCGGCACGGCGGTGCGCGCGTCGGGCACGCGCCCGTCCTCCTGTCGGGGAGGAAGACGACAGAGGAGGAGGCGGGCTGGGCTGCTGCTGGGCTGCACAGTAACGGGCTGCACAGGGAGGTAAGCGCTAGGTAAGTCTCTTTTCCTATTTCTTTTTCCTATTTTCTGACATTTGTTTTGATTTAATAAAAATACTAAATCATTTTATTTACTTATGCCAATTTTTGTAGGAACTAGTGGTATTATTCCAGAGCCCCTCAACAAATGGCATAATTTTTGGACATATATTATATATATAATAAATATATATCCAATGCAAATAATTATGCATTAATTCCAAATGCCCAAAATAAATTCTTATGAGCTCCTAAAAATATTGGTTTGATTTTTATCTCTGTCCAATATTTTCAGAGAGCAACATGAGCATTTTCTTGGACCTTTTTGAAGCAATTTTTATTTGGATCATTTTCAGAGATGATTCTGAGGGTTTCATAAATCCCCATTTCAAATTTAAATGGAATTTAAACATGATGCACACATGACTAGCTAGTCTAGGTCATACCAGAACTAGGGATGTGACACTGTTGCTCCTGCATCTCACAGCGAAGCCGCTCCACCATTCCGCCTGAGCAGCAGCCCCTCACCGTGCCATCGCGCAACCTCCCGGCGACAGATCCGCACTGCCGGACCCCTTGTGCAGCACCTTCCCGTGCAGCAGCACCTCGTCCCAGCTCCTCTCGAGCCCCTCACGCCGGGAGTAGAGTACCCAAGCACCCGAGGCCGTGGAGCAGAACACCCAAGCAGCAGAGCAGCGCTCGACCACAAATGGCCACCCGAGCCGCCACGCACGCGCAGCGCGACCTCGTCGCGGCGCCCACGTAGCCCCATGCCCCCTCTCCGTGGCCTGCTCAGATCCGCGTCCTCCGCTCCATGCGCCCACGCCAACGCCTGCGGCAAGCCGTCGCACGTAGAACCACGCCAGCCGGCCCCGAAGCACGCCCGACCCGCCCCTGCGCTACCTCGCCGCGCCGCCTCGAGCTAGCATTGCCGCCGACCGAGCTCCCGCCGAAGAGGACGGTCCGCGCCGCGCCGCTCCGACCGGAAGGAGGAAAGGGCCCCGCCGCCGCCGAGCCGCACGGGCTTTGCCCGGCGACGCCATCCGGCGGCGGCGAGGGGAGGCGGGGGAGGTGGGTGCTGCGCTGCTGGCGGCTAGGGTTCGCTCCCGGCCGCCCGCAATACAATTCAAATTTGAACTATAAGTGGATGAAAAGGTTGGCAAAACTGGTTTGAAAAATCATATTTGTGTTCTGGTGTCTATTTTAGGACTTATAGAAGAAAAGGAAAGGTATTCCAAACATGAGGGTGCCAAGACTTGACCATGAATGTGAGTTTTCTGATTTTTTTTTATTTCAAAAAATGCAAAACTCTGAAAAACATGAAACTTGGCATGGTCTCATCATTAAGTGCATTTCTAGACATTTAGTGGGTATACTTTAAATTTGAGTTGTAGGTTGTTGAAAAGTTTGGCAAAACTGGTTTAAAAAAAATCATATTTGTGTTCTTGAGTCTATTTTTAGGACTTATAGAAGAATAGGAAAGGAACTACAAACATGAGGGTGCCAAGACTTGACCCTGAACAGGAGTTTTTTGAGTTTTTTTTAAATTTCAAAACAAGCTTACTAATCATGAAACTTGGCATGGTCTCATCATATGATCCTTGTAGTGTGTGGTAAAAAGTTGAGAAGGTTTTGCAAAAGTTATGACACAGGTTATTTAGAAATCAAACCATCTTTGAGGAAGAAACGTATTTCCATAGAGAACGTATTTCCATAGGAAAGTTATGATAAAAGTTATGACATACATTTGTTGTTTTGTATCGAATTATGTTCCATAATGATATTTGGTGTGACTATAACAATAAAAGTATGCAATATGTTGTTTTGATTGTGCTGAAAATATATGTGCCTTAGCTGAACAATGTGTGTGCTATCAAAGAGAGCAATATATGGTAGGAAGAGTGAAAGGAAGAATATGTTAGAATTTTCTAATAAACATACGTCGATAATTTATGAAAGTTTGAGAGGCACTGATGTTGTAACAAAAATGAATCTATACTCGACTTCCGTGATAAGATTGTGCATTACATAGATGACCAGAAAAATCGAGAAAACAACATGGGAATGTTAAAGAGAACAAGCCGTGGCGGTAGTGGCTGAGAGGTGATTGGCAAAGAAAAATATTGACCTAATCATAAAAAAAAAGCAAAAGATTATAAAACAGTTACTAAGGTATAATGTTTTAACAATAAATGGTTGTAATAAAAAGTCATGTTAAGTATGCAATAAGATATTTTTATTTGTGCCAAAGGAATATAAGTCAATACAAAACAACAAATGCACTAGGAAAAAATATAATTAATTTGCAAGATAGACTGTTTTGGCAACTTTAGATAATATATATTGATAACTCTACATATCAAGCAGCACAAACAATTAGATTAAGATGGGCAAGGAGATCTCTAGGTTCTACTATTAGTACATGCTACAATTGTTTTTTGTTAAATATTGGTGAAGTGTTTTTCTTCAAAGAATTTAGTTCTGAAACTCTTTACACTAGGAATCAAGGAGTAGTCAATGGAAGCTACATGATATATGTTTGTTAATTCTAAGTGAGTTTAACCTTATTAATTCTATCGGGCCAAATTTGGATGCTACTATTTACTCCCTTTTAATGTGTATAGATTCTTTCTAAAGTCAAACTTTGTAAAGTTTAAGCAAGTTTATAGATAAAGTTATCAATATTAATAATAAAAAATAAATAAGTAAAAATATGTATCTAACTATATTTATTTGCTCTTATAGATTTGTATATTTGTCTCTATACACCTAGTAAAAATTTAGAAAGCATAACTTCTGGAAAAATACATACACACCATATTTGGAATGAAAGGAGCAATAAGTAAAAGAAGTCAGATAATTTATTATGCTTATGTTTATAATACCATGTATAATTGGTCAATATCGGGAGAAGGATCCCTTGAAAAAATAATTATTAATTTTATAATATTTAGGATAAAAAAGAAACAGACATCATGAATAAATGGTAGGATGACAAGAAAAAAAATACTATAATGAGAGGGAAAACACAAGGATTAAAATTGTGCTTGAAGCATCTATCGTGGTAGCCCTAAAATGGAGTGATAGTGGTGGTATTTCCTACATTCCCATGACATAGTTATGGAGGAAAATTGCAATGGGATTTTTCAGCCACGATAGCGACCAAATCATGTGATTAAAATATGGGGAGTGTTACGCGCCATATCTGCACCATCGAGCAACTGAGCGACGCCCTCAACCTTTGCGATAGAGGTATGTTGCAGGAACGTCGGCGCGCCCGCATCGCCGCACCATTGTGCTTCCACTGCAATGTTTCCCGTGTTTTTAGAAACATGTACAGTGTTGCAATCCCAAGACCTGTATCGACCGGCTCCTTTGCAGCTCAACTCCTTTGCAACACTGGAGCTTGTAGCATCGGTGGTGGATGGCGGGAGGAGAAGGAGGAGGGGACAGGGGGTGACAAGCTTACAACCAGTGCAGATGACTGCCTGTTGTGTGCCATCTCCGGCTTGCGTCAGATGAAGGGACACAAGGAGGAGACACCTACAGCAGCTTGCGGCGGCTGTCACGACCAGGTCATGGTGGTGGACGACGATGGGTTGCCGACATTGCCACAAAAGGGTGGGCTCGGAGAGGAGAGGGAAGCTGTAGGGGAGTGGGAGCTGCCATGCTAGCATGATCCACACACAACCGCTCGCACCATAAAAAATTGCAATGGAAGCGGTGTGGGCCTATGGGGGGCACGTAGCGCACAAGGAAGACGATGGATGCTGGGCTGCAACCCATCGGGTGATTTGAATTGTTTTTATTAATATATTAGGGAAACTATGATATCTGAAACCACCTTGAGGTAGACGAAAAAGTAGCCCAAATCCAATACATGATGTACTTTCTCTGTCTCAAAATAATCCCAACTTTGTATTGATACTAAAGTTGTGACACTTAATTTGAGACGAACTGAGTATATACATAATGTTGATGTCGGCGCTGTCTATTCATTCGTGGAACATTGACTTCAAGTCGTCACATCCAATCCAGAATATAGTGTGCATATTTATGTCAGAAGTCAGAACCGGAGGTTCATTCTTCGATAAAGAACAGAACGTCAGAGTCACAAAACTTCTGCTCTGGTCCCTGGAATACTCGCGGCAATTTCCTAACTGCCCAGTGTCCACCCTTAAACTGATGACAATCGATAGAAAACAAGCCAAGTAGTATATCCCATGGTGCGCATTTATTTCTGAATTTATTTCAGAATTTTCGATGATGCGCATTCAGTGGAAGGAGACGTTCTCATCTTCGTAAATTTCAAGATAATATGCCGGCTCAGTCTTTTTGAGGTGTTCATAGGGATAGGGTATGCGTGTGTGCGTTCATAGGGATGAGTGTATGCGCACGTATATGAGTGCTTGTGTCTATACAGATGTTAAAAAAAAAGAGCCTAATTTTGTACTCTTAGTTGGTCACGGTATTGGTTGGAAGACCCGTTGTTTTGATTGGTCGTCACGGTGTGATGTTAGCAAGTTCCCGCTTCCGGTCAAAGGCTCCAAGCTGGCGTAGCTAATTAACCAATCGAACGCTCGCTCGAACGTAGCACACCAGCAACCAGTCACCACCATGCCCACGTACCTCCTCCTCCTCTTCTTCCTCGCCTTGTGGCCACCGGAGGCGAGCGTTCACGCCGCCTCCGCCACAGTGAGCCCGTTGTATACACTCTGCAACCAGACCACCGGCACGTACGCGACAAACAGCACTTACGGCTCCAACCTTCGAGCTCTCGGAGCGACCCTCACCGCGGGCGCCGGCACGTCGGGCTTCGCCAAGGGCAGCTCCGGCGAGGCGCCCGACAAGGTGTATGGCGAAGTGCTCTGCCGCGGCGACTACACCGGCGCCAACTGCACCGACGGCCTCAGGGCCGCCTTCCAGGACGTGGCCGACCGCGTCTCCTGCCGGCGCGCCGTCGTCTACTACGACCAGTACATGCTCCGCTTCACCGACGACGAGCGGTCCCTCTCGAGCCTCAGCAACGAGCCCGAATGGTCCGCGAGCAATATGAACTCGGTCAGGGGCGCAGAGGCCGCACCGCGGCTGATGGAGACGGTGGTGAAGCTGATGAACGACCTGGCCGACCTTGGCACCTCCGGCGGCCCCAGGCTGACTAGCCGGTCCCGGTATGCGACCGGCGAGGCGGGGTTCGGCGAGCAGGGCGTGAGCACCGTGTACGGGCTCGTGCAGTGCAGGCTGGACCTTGCCGGGCCACAGTGCAGGAGCTGCCTTGAAGGCATCATCAAGCAGATGCCAAAGCTGTTCGGCGATGCATCTTCAAGCCGCGTCGGTGGGAGGATTATTGGAATTCGGTGTAATTTGCGGTACGAGAAGGAGCTCTTCTTTGAGGAGACAAACGACACTCTCAAGATCGACATGCCCAAAAGTACGTGTGTTGCTTCACTGTTTACAACTCCATCTATTAAGATTTTTTAAGGAATCCACGCGTAGTTTAACAGCATTTCACAATCCTAACTCCTAAGGCCTAGCAAGGGAAACCATGTTGTTCCAAACTCCCTGTTACCTACTGATTTTGCGGCCTTTTTGATACAAAGATGGAGTGAGCCCGGTGCTTAAGATTGTCATATTTGGAGTTCCTCTTCTAGTTTTGCTCATCCTCGGCTTGCTCCTAAGGCCATACATCGTCAAGAAAGTCAGAGGTAAAGAATTGTTGTTGTTGTTGTTGTTGTTGTTGTTGTTGTTGTTGTTGTTGTTGTGTTGTTGTTGTTGTTGTTGTTGTTGTTGTTGTTGTTGTTGTTGTTGTTACTGTTACTATTACTATCATCATCATCATCATCATCATCATCATCAATGTTCAAAGAAGCGGAAAGCATAAGCGAAACGGAAGGTCACAGCTTAGAGCAATGGGCGCTTCAATGTTTTTTGAAATTGGCTAGAATTTGATAGATTTTGAATAATATACACAGTAAAATAGGAAACATGGCACATGGGTACTTGATATAGCATCTAAAACACAGTTCACACCGTAGCATCAGGTTCACATAGCAAGAAAAATAACAACTAAAATGCGGTTCAGTTCAAATAGTCATAACCTAAAAGAGATCATGTGAGAATTTTGCCAGAATATGAAGGAAATGGTTCCCAACAGAACCTAATAATAAGATAAATGGCATATTGCCATTATTGCGCAAGCCGACAAGCAAAAGGAGTTCAAAAACAGCCAAATTTTGGCCAAAGTTAAGAAGAAAAAAAACTTAACCTACCGCTTAGGACAAAAGCGAAGAGGTTTGCCATCGCTCATCGCTTAAGCGTGCTTAAAAACGCTTTCTTGAACATTGATTATTATTATTGTGATGGTGGTGGTGGTGGTAATGGTAGTAGTAGGAGGAGGAGGAGCAGTAGTATTGTTGTTATCATCATCATCATCATCATCGTTTGCATGATTGCAAGTTATTCTTTCATTTTGTTTCCACATGAATATGTTTTTACCTTGCCCTTCCTTGTGTAGAATTGTTATTGGAGAGGGATCTAGTCATCCTGGAAGAGGAAATTGTTAGTGAAAGCGACTCGAGGTTTTCACTATTTAGATATTCAAAGATAAGAAGTGCTACTGATAACTTCTCGAAGGAAAATAAACTTGGAGAAGGTGGATTTGGTCATGTTTACAAGGTAATTGCATTTACTTGAATCAACCTTTGCGAATGTTAGCCTTACTGAGACAAAATAATACTCCTTTAATTTTTGCAATCCTATATTTCAGTTCATTTTGCAGCTGTTCAAAAATATTTAGTAATTCAAATATATAAAAAATTCATGTGTAACTTCATTTCTTGAATTGAATAGAGATTTATTTTCTCCCAATAACGATGCATATCACACATGCACATGAAAGGAAACTTTTTTTAATCAAAATCATCTCAATATAGCATCATGAACAAGCGTATTTATTGCGATACAATGTATACAAATACCATATTATCAAGATAGCATTACTCATATATTGATCTGTCATGTAAAAATACATGTACACTTCATTAGGGTCGGTTGCCTGACGATCAAGACATAGCGGTTAAACGACTTTCTCCAAATTCAGTTCAAGGATTCCGTGAGTTCATGAATGAAATCAAACTCATAGCCAGCCTCCAGCACAAGAATCTCGTCAAACTTCTTGGATGCTGCATCAAAGGCAAAGAGAGGATACTTGTATATGAATTTTTGCCAAATGGTAGCTTGGAAGAGTTCATTTTTGGTACGTTCACTTTTCTCATGCAAAAAACAAAGATAATACCATTGTACTTTCACCACAAAAATAACGAAAGGCCGAAATATCTTCTGTTTATTTATTCGAATGAAAAAATAACTATGTATCTCTATATTCACATTTTAAATTGTAACTCAATAGGGTCAGGAGCAAAGCGGAGCTGGCCTGTACGTCGCCACATAATTGAAGGAATAGCAGAAGGCCTTCTCTACATGCATGACTACGCACATGAGTGCATAGTCCACAGAGACTTGAAACCAAGTAACATCCTATTAGATCATGAAATGAATCCAAAAATTTCCGACTTTGGGATCGCAAGGATATGCCTCTCCAACATGACAGAATCAAATACAACGACAGCTATGGGAACATTGTAAGGTTTTGATTTTATGGGCTTCACATGTTAGTTCAGACTTATATTTGGTTAGTAAGCGAACCTTATTGAAAAGGCGGGAATATTTGTTTAGCTAGCTAAGTACCTTGTTAGTTGAGACTAAGTTGAGTTCCAATGATTCATCAATATTATATGACGTATATTTGAAGGAGATGGTGTTAATATTTTCGAGCGTATGCAATACATAGATATATACTATCACAGTGTAGAGGTCGTGGAGAGGGAAACTTAATATTTATTTGTGTATATGCATTAAAAAAAGCTAATAGAGTGACTAATGAATCTTCCACCTACGACCTGTATTAGTGTTGACTTCTTCAAGGCATTTTCAGACTAAGTCAACTAAGTTTGCAACTTCTCCTTTCCGTGATCTTTCTTGCAAATCTGCAATAACAGGAGTACCGGGGTATCGAATGGAAACGTTCAATCAACAATGAAACTGATTTGATCAAATGAGCGCATGTCACGCCTATCATCTAATTCCCATTATATTTCTTTCGGCTGAGAATCATTATAATTTACAGTGATCTTGTTGGCATATATTGTTTTATTTCAGTGGATACATCGCGCCGGAATACTGCTCCCAGAGTGTCTACTCAACAAGGTCAGATGTTTTCAGCTTCGGCATCCTAGTTCTCGAGATCATAAGTGGGAAGAGGGCCGTCGGTTCCTACCAATTATCCGGAAGATCATACGAGCTCAGGAAATATGTGAGTAAAATAAAATACTTCAAAAATGAAGAATCCACACATAGTTTGCTTCAGTCCCTCTACTAAGCCAGCAATTAGTAATGTGTTATCTGGTTCAATCTATATATAAAATCACTATGCCTAGGTCAATTATCACCCCCTTGCATTTTTTTTCTTTCAAAAATATGAACATTTACTTACTTCTTTTAGGGGACATTTACTTACTTTGACCGCAAGACATGCTTGTTAATGCACAATTAATCTGTTTGGCTATTAGGCTTGGAAACTATGAAGAAGGTAACAATTTTTAACAAATAATCTGTTTCGGTAATAGGCATGGCAATTGTGGAGAGAGCAGAGGTGCGACGAGCTGGTGGATGATTCGCTGGGCGAGGAGTACCCAGAGATGGACACTATGAGGTGCATCCAGGTCGCCCTCTTATGCGTCCAGGATGTCGCGGAGGACAGGCCTACCATGCGCGATGTCACGACGATGCTGAGCAACGGAAACAAGAGGCTGCTCCTGCCTGCGCAGCCCGGTTTTTGCAGCATACACATCAACACTACCGATAATGAAATAGGGCTGTGAGTCTGAACCAAACCAGGACTTTTGTTTAGACATCGGTGGTGTTTGTTATGTGTTAGAGAGAAACAAAGTGCAAGAGAACTGTTTTGTGATCCCATCAGGAGTACAAAAGATGACTGTTGCTTATGAACATGCCATCAATGGCGATCTTTAGACTCGTCAGTCCGTCTCCGATTTACTACAAAGACACCATTCCTTGCTGTCAAAAGAGGACCATAAACAAAAGAGTTGAAAGAAACAGGTTGTTGAGGTCTGATGTCATGGTCGTTAAGAGTTAGGGCGTGGCGTCGTTGTATCTAAGATATACTCCCTCAGTCCACAATATATGATCTTATTACATCCAATATGTGAGTATATTGGATATAATATCTTATATTTTGGGACGGAAGGAGTATATGTTTATGAACATTATTTCTTAAAAAAAACATATTTTTCGAATATATGAATACTTATTTTTTATGTCATATTATTCTTTTGATTCCCGAAAAAAATCCCTTTTGAAATATACAAAGACTTACTTGAATATATGTTAATATTTATTTTGCAACATGTGATTATTTTCTTTATTATTACACGTTTGCTCAAATTAGTGAAAATATATACATCCTTGAGATCTACATAAAAAGGAGAAAACGTTCCCCCACGTCAATGTTTTGCACAAGAAGGAACGGAGCTATAACCCAAAAAAAACACATCAGTAGCCACGGGGCACTCCTCTCTTTGCATAGAAATATTTTCATGATTTCATAGAAATATTTCAAATTTAGCATAAATTGTTTATTCAATATACAGGAACATTTTTTTCAAATGATATGAACACAATTTAAAATGGGATATTATTTTTTCCTTAACCTATGCAAGTCACTTTCAATGTGTTTTTTCTCTCAAAAAAATTCAATGTGTTTTTAGCTCAAAAAAATTTAAAATGGGATATTATTGTTTTAAGTTAACTTTCATTTAGAAAATATGAAAATTTAATTTAAACAAATTAAAATGAGATATTATTCGGCTCAACCGGTCGTCGGCCCACCTCTGTCCGATCCCACACTGGAACGGTCGAGATGACTGGCTCCAAGAACAAGCGCGCCGCCAAGCAGTCCCGCGCCAACTATTTTTCGCATTAAGCGAGAGCATACGAACTATCACTGAAGGGTATACAGTATCAGGCCGGGCCATTTTTACGTACTTTAAATGAAAAAAAGGAAGAATATGGGAGAAGCAGGGTTCGATCCCTGGTTTCTCCTTCCAGTGCACCCACGTCTTGCACATGATAAGTACAAGGCGCGTTTTATAGTTGAGGCGAATGAAGCCAATTTTTCTATTGTTTTCACGGGTTTCTTTCTCTGCCTTTTCTTTTTATTTTTCTTATTTTTTCCTTTTCTTTTTCCTTCATTTTTGGTTTGGTTTTCCTTTTCCTTCTCCAGTTTTTGTTTCGTTTTCTTTTGGGTTTTTACTATTTATCTATAGAAATTTAGGTATATATAAAATACATTTTAAATATTTTTCAAATACAAGTTTAACATTTTTAATATATGATCAACATTTTATTCTATGTACATTCTTTTTTCAATGGTTCCTCTTTTTTCTTATCTTTGTTTTATTTTGTTTCTTTTTCGGTTTTCTTTGTTTCTTTTTGGTTTCATTCTACATTTTATTTTTATGTGAACACCATTTTTCAAATACATTTTCCGAATACAAATTTAAGTTTTTTTAATATATAGTCAAAACAATTCCTATTACCAAATTTTAACCTTTTTCAGATGCTTCATTAACATTGTTTGAATACATGATCACCATTTTTCTATATATTTTCATTATTTTGTAATTCATGGTCAATATATATACACATTTAATATTTCTCAAATGCTTGATTAATATTTTTCAAATATTTTTTCAACATTTGTTTTTCAAATGCTTGATTAATATTTTATATACATGATCAACATTTTTCAACCACTTGTTCAACATTTTTGCAATGCTTGATTAATTTTTTCATAAACATGATAAAGAAATCATCATTTTCTAATACATGGTCAACATTTTTTATATACAAATTTAACATTTCTCAAATACTTGATTAAACTTTTTGAAATACTTTTTGAATATTCTTTCTCAAATGCTTGATTAACATTTCTATATACATGATCACTTTTTTTAAAGTACGTGTTCAACATTTTTCAAATACATGTTCAATACTTTTCAAATACTTGTTCAACATTTTGTAAATAATTTTTAACATTTTTATTTATTTTTGTAGAGTGTTTTTAATATATATGTATATGTATAAATAATATTTTAAAGTATAAAGAAAAGTACAAAAATAAAGAAAAAACAAAATCCAAAAATGTAAAAAAGAACAAGAAAAAGAGGTTGTGGCCTCCCGCGCGCGTGGGCCGACTTAACTAGCTCGCCCTTCGGCTAGTCGGAAGCCAGACTCGCTGAAGGCGAGATATAGGGGCGCCCAAGCGGTTCGGGCTGAATGCACGAGCGCGAGGGCTCCATCTCCTCCGCCTATCGTAGCACGGCGTACCGCGCGAGGGCAACCGCGTCGTCTTGGATACCTGCAACCACAAGCCCGTCCCCAGTGGCTATGACAATGAACGTGGATTTATAAACCTCAGGTTTCTGGACACCTCTTATCTTTACCCTTCAATGTTGCTTTGAGATCTGTACTATACAACTAACTTATAACACGGATTTTTCTCTTTTTTGTTCCTTCAAAACGAAACAACATGTGAACTTCAAACTTTACAGGACAACAAAACATTCTTACTACAGTGTAAGAAGAAACTTTTAGATTTTTTGTCCGACATAAATATACAAAATGAGATTTTTTGAGTAAAATATTTTTTTGTATATATGATTCACGAAAAAATCTGAATTTTTTCCCACACTCTAGTTAGAATGTTTTGTTGTCTTCCAAAGTTTCAAGTTTATATGTTGTTCTATTTAGAAGAAACAAAAAAGACAAAAATTACTCGCACGAATCACGATGCAAAAATGAATGGCTAAATAAGGGGGTGTAGGAAAGCCTGTGCTTTCTCAAATGTTAACCCTATGACAACGGGTAATCTCTGATGCAATCGCTTCCTTGCCTAATCTCACTAACCTGCTGTGTCCATGGATTTGATCGATGGGTGTTGAATGCCTGAATCGATTTCCGGATCCTGCCGCGATGTAACCGTTGCGCCGCTTCGGTAGCACCGTCTTCAGATTAGGATGTGTCTATGGTGTTGACACTTGTTCTCTTTTAGGATAGGAATTATGCATGGCCCACCATGGCTAACCCCGCCGTGTGCGCGTGTGGCTTTGGAACACTGCAACAACATGAATTAGGTTTATTCTGCTGTAGTTTGCACTGCGTACTTGACTACTTGCCATTCATGTCCTGTAAAAAGTCCCCCAACAATGTCCCAGCGAGTTGGACCATGAAAACCTAAGTTCTTTTTTTTCATACCCTCTCCCCTGATTTTCATGGTAAGATCAGCATCATATAGTCTCTTTCTCGGTTACATGGCACTTCACTGCACCCTTGGTCCTCAGATTGCCCTTACGTCTTCACAGACTAAAAATTTAATTGTAGTTCGTAATGCAGTACTACCATGTTTCTAGCTACTCATTAATTCATATATGCACCCTTGGACTGCTCTCTTATGTTTGTGAATTCCACATAATCCGATAGTTCATAATGCATTACCAAGTTTCTAACTATACTTATTAATCTGTAATGGTCTCTTTTGTTTGTAAATTTGCTAGGGGATGAGCATGAGATGGGTTAAACCAGTGAGCAACCATGTCTTTGTCTTCAATGGTATATGGTTCCCAATGTTTTAAATAGCAGGTTATGCCATTTAGCAGTGGCTCACCAGAAGCTAGTAAAAGCTATAGTGAAGCTAAGCCACATTTAGAATTTTCCTTAGATCATGATTTTTTTAAAGTATATAGTTAGGCATCATATATGATATATCACATATACTTGACATATACACATGTTCGGACATCAAAACCCAACCACCAATTAGGTGTGCTAATTCAATAACCAAGCTTCGCATCAATGCATCATATATATATCAGAAACAAGAACAAAAAAATTGCAGAAGGATGGTCTTATATAGCAGCTTAGCGGGCTAAATGACTCCAAATTAGCGCTATAGCATGAAATGGTGGGTTATTAATGTCATTTTCAATTTAGCTTTAAAAGTGCATAGGTTTAGCGGGAGAGCTCTCAAAGGCTATAGCTGGTTCCATGCAAATTTCCTTGCTAAAAGAAAAGGAGTGACCACCTGTGTTGATCTCGTCCCCAAGTACTTCTTTGCTGAACTGTAAATCATGGGGACAAGGAACCCTTCTTGTGTTTCGTGTGTTAAACTTGACCTAGGTACGTCCAATAATACAAGTTTCAGTCTTTGTTCACACCACTTTATCTTCATGAATTGTGCGGGTATGTGATGTTTACTTAAATAATTTTACACTAGTAGGTGATCCCAAAACATCGCTGGTTGTAGCTTATGCAATGAAAAGATTATGCATCCTGCTGTTGGTGGATACCACAATGCCAACCTCGATCTGTTTGACATGCTCCTGGCGGTCTACAGATTTCATTTAATTTCTGAATGTTGTATGTGCTAGAATCATGCATTATTGTGCTATAATATAGATAGAAGAAAATATTTCATGTTTATGAAGGACAAATCATCTAGCCTTTACAATGTGTCATGTACAATACCCACCCTAGAAGGTGCTAGCCAATTGCCCAAAATGGATTTTGGATATTATTTCCTTCAACAAGCACGCAGATAATGCTATTCTCACCTATGAAGAAGTACAACGATGGAATTCACCTATCAAGGAAAGTAGGCTTTTAATCTCATTAGTTTAGTAGGTAACCAAGTATATGAAAGATTGTAAGTCATGCCTCCCCCCTCCCTCTACAGCTCAAAAAGGGAAAGTTGTAATGGAGCTCGCATACAGCTCAAAACTCAAGCAAATTCTACTCGTCATGG